GCGACATTTTAAAGCAAGTGCATATTCAAAAGCTCAATCCTTTAATCTTACCCGAGCTGATTGAATTTCAATCTCTATTAGCTCATAATCCCAATGGATACACTTCTGGTCATGCCACCGCAACATCCTAGGAAACGTCTGTTGCACAACCGAAGCCTTAATCCTCCCCCATGCCTTAGCTAGGATAGGGATGGCCTCATACATCCAAGCCTACATTGTAAAAAAACAGTCCATATCATAATTCAAACACATATATTAAAAAAATATATAACAAAAACCTATTAATATTTACCTGCATTGCCCATGGGAAACCAAACAAATTGTACGTGGCCGCTCTATTCTTCTCGGCCCATTGGGAGTGCTTTAACGCCAGGTCTTTTGCTTGTAGGGACTCCATGGTTCACTTAAATGATACCTGTCCCCACGGATAAGCATTAAAGAAGTTTAAGTTGCTTACAAACTTCACCCAATCAATATCAATGGCTTTTGTTGAGTCACCAGCCATTAGGATCGAATGTAAGAACAATACCAAGCATAGTTTGAACATCTCTAAATCGTTAAACTCACCATCTTTTAACCTATCCTCTAATTCCTGTGCCTTAATAGACGTGTTCCCCACCAAAACCTTGTTAGACAACCTTTTGGCTCCTGTATTGTCTTTTATTCTTTTTTGCTCAACCTCACCTGGCAATTCCTCACATTTTAAGCCAGTCACCAACGCATATTCCATCATCCTGAAACGTAATGGCTTTCCATCCACTACGAACCACATTTCGTGCTTTTTGTTGCTTTTTATTGAGTGCAGCAACATATAATGCACTCCCGATCCCCAGAATGTCTTTTTCCATTTTGTCTCCATATCCCAAAAATGACTGAAACAGGTCTCTTTGAGTCTCCTTTCACCATTCATCACTATCCCTAAAATCCCCGTTATTCTCGTTAACAAATCCCAACTTGACCTCATTGTCACCCTCACAGGGAAGTACAGTACTGTATCGCTTACATACTCCAATCTGTACTCTCTATAGTTTACGCTCTGGAAAATCTGCACAATCGATATAAACAAAGTATCAGCAAAAAAATAAAACCAAATCAAATATAAACAAAATAGGCTCCGGAAGAATCACTTAAGCAATGGGCAGATGATTCTGCCTCATACAAGATCGCTTAAGAGTAAAAGCGACGAATCGCTTAAGCGATATAAAAGATAGCTTAAGCGATTCGTAGATTTTACTCTTGGTCGCTTAAGCAATTTAAGATCGCTTAAGCGATCTCTTCCGAGGCAGAATCAACATCTGCCTAGATCTAAGATCGCTTAAGCGATCTTTTATATTGCTTAAGTGATTCGACAAATCGCTTAAGCGATACAAAGGATCGCTTAAGCGATTATAGATCTGGACAGATTTGATTCTGCCTCGGAAGAGATCGTTTAAGCGACCAAGAGTAAAAGCGAACTTTTACTCTTGGTCGCTTAAGCGATTACAGATCGCTTAAGAGATTATAGATCGCTTAAGAGATCTTGTACGAGGCAGAATCAACATTTGCTAGATCTAAGATCGCTTAAGCGATCGTTTATATCGCTTAAGCGATTGTTTATATCGCTTAAGCGATTCATCGCTTTTACTCTTAAGCAATCCTAAATAGCTTAAGCGACCAAGAGTAAAAGCCATCAATCGCTTAAGCGATACAAAGGATCGCTTAAGCGATCTTAGGTCTCGGCAAGTACAAATACCTTTTCTTCGATGGCCTCCTCCTCTTTGGCGGCCTCTTCCTCTGCGGCCTCCTCCTCCTCGCCTGAACTCTTGCCGGACTCCTTTTCCTGACCTGAATTCTGCCCGGCCTCCTCTTCCTCTTCAGAAACGTTTTGCTCCTGTTCTCTCTCTTGTTGCGCCGTCATCGTCTCCGCTGTTGGAACACCTTCACTGATCGAAGGATCCACCGGAACAACCATTAAACTACCCGCCGAACTCTATGATTCGAAGAGGCGTTGGGTTTTCCTCCTCATTGTGAATGTCAGCCATGGTTTTAAGAAAGGAAGAAGCTTTAGGATTGAATTTGGGTGTGAAAATTTGCAGGAATGTGGACTGTTATTGCCGGAAATTGCACAGAATGCGTTTAGGTATTGAAGATATCGATTTTTGCCTTAATTGGTTTCGATTAAGCGATGTGAATGGGTGGGGCTCTTTTTCAAATTTCAAATTTTAAAAACTATCATTAATTATGATTTTGTCCTTATATGTTTTAATCTTTTTATTTTAACCCATTTTACATGTTTAATGGATCCTAACTGTGCCACGTCAGCTTCTTTAAATTAAAAAAAAATGAAAAACAGTTTCAAGGTCATTTTCTTAAATCAAAACTTGGGATGGCCGGTTAGCTAAATTTTCTCATAAGCTCGAGTGAAGCTACCCCAACAGCCTGGACCGATTGAGGAGTGATTGTGGGTGGCGGTGAGAATGTTGAGAGGCCGGGGGGGGGGGGGGGGGGGGGAACGAGTTGCCCGTGAGTTCAACGGTGGTGACAATGTCGATTTTTGGTGCCGAAATCGGTTAGAATTGGCTTGAATTTGGGCTGAGGCACACGAACCTTCATTTGCGATGGTTGGCGATTGGGGTTGATCATTGGTGGGGGTATTTTCGTCTTCACATTGAACATCATTGTATTTAATGAAAATTATTAACGGAATATAATGTTTAGATAATAAAATTGTATTTTGAAAGTTCTTGTTCGAAAATGCTATTAGGCCATTATTTAGTGGGGAAAACCGTTTACTCAATAATTAATCCTTCGTTCCACTTAAATTGATTGAAGTGTCTACTGACAAATACAATAATTAATGGTTAAAGAATAAAGAATGACATTTATCAATTATATTTATGTATTATCATTTGACAATCCATTTTAATCGATGAAAGTTAAAGGAGTAGGCTAAAGGCTTATTTTCCCAAATCCTTATTGTTTTATATATATATGATGAAATTAAACAGTGAGCCTCAGGCTATGTAGAGTCTAATTTAGTTTTATTATTATTATTATAATTATACGGATTAAATGAATTAAGAACATGATACAGTCAATTAAACGCGTCATTAATTGAGTTTATTAGTTAAAAGGGACTCAAAACCGAAGCATCAACTAGGTTAAATAATTCAATATCATGATCACGTCAGCTCATTTTAAGTCGATCTTAGGGGGTGTTTGTCTAAGCTTATAAGCTGGTCAAACTTGCTTATAAGCTCTAAATTTTAGCTGACCCGTTTGTTTATAACTTTTTTGAGCTTATAAGTCGAGCTTATAAGCCAAAAAAAATAAGTTGGGGGGGAGGTACTTTTTTTTTTTTGGCTTATAAGCACTCTGCTTATAAGCTAGTTTGACCAAGTATATTACCATCTTATCCTTATTTAATTTTAAAATTCCATAGTATACCCTTGTTTTTATATTTGAAATAGGTCATATTACTATTTGTTTGTATTCTGTGAAGCAAAAATCTCCTTCCACAAAGGGTTTAGGGTTCACTGCTCTCTCTTCATCAAGGTAAATAATTTTTTTTTTTTTAAATTTGAGATTTTGTTCTTGCAATTTTCTAGTTTAATGGTGGAATTTAGGGTTTAGAGCTTTTTGTTTAATTTAATATATTGCTGTCTCTGTTCCCTTGTGTGATTTTTGCTGTGGCTTGATATGCGCTATTTGCTTGATTTTGAGTTGGACGTTGAACTCTCTGGGTTTCATTAGCTTTAAGCGTTTAACAGTATTCTCAGCTTAGATGTTTTGTCAATAGGAGGTCGTCGAAGAAATTCTATCACGGAATACATAAAATAAGAAGAAAAAGAGTATTAATGTATAATGAACGCACCAAGTCCTTGCTGATACCCATTAAGTAATTTGCTTCCTGCAGCACCCAATTCCTCAAGCTTTGTGGGCCTATAATGGTACAGTCAATGAATCATGTGATTAAAGCCGCAATATTTGACAAGAAAGAGTAGTAGTCCCCTGTTCCTTATTACTATTTCGCCTATTTTCTTCATCTGTTGTCTCTATAAGTAATGCTTATACTCTATTACAAATAATATAATATTTTGAGCAGTAGTCCCCTGTTCCTTATTAGTATTTTGCCTATTTTCTTCATCTGTTGTCTCTATCAATAACCCATTTGCTTGATTTTGACTTGCACGTTGAAGTGAAGGTTTTAGAGTTTAATTGAGCTGAAATTATGCTTTTTAAGTGTTGAAATTTTGTGATTTTGTTGTTATTTATTCTTCAAAGTTTTGAATTTTTGATGAATTTGATTTATTATTTTCTGTTATGCTGTTGAACATGGATTGATATAGTTTTATGATCAAGTGTGGGCATGTCCACTAGAAACAATCCAATTGGGACCATTTTTTCTTGATATTTGATTCAACATTTGATTCAATATTCTTTCAGTCTAAAATTCTAGATGGATAAAAGTACAACAAAAGTAACACAATCTCAAGTATCAGCGAAATGGGATGACATGCTCCACCTTAATTTTATTGAACTTTGCGAAGAAGAAATTAGAAAAGGAAATCGACCAAATTGTCATTTATCTTCTTTTGGATGGAACAATTTGATCAAGGCATTCAATGAAAGGACTGGTATTAATTATAATAGAAAACAGATGAGAAATCATTGGGATGCCATGAAAAAAGATTGGACTCTTTTCAAGCAATTGATGCGAGGGGAGACAGGTTTAGGTTGGGATGATGTGAGAAAAACAATTATTGCTGATGACGAATGGTGGAATGATAAAATAAAGGTAGTTACAACTTTTTTTTTTTATGTATGTTTACTTTTAATTGATATTAATTGTTTGAAATGTTACTAATTTTCTAAATTAATAACATTGTAGGTGAATAAAGAGTATAAGAAATTTAAAACAATTTTCTGAGGCACTCCGCAGAGAAGAGTTAGGATTTCCCCATCCAACGGGCAACAAATATTATTTGGTAGATGCTGGGTATCCCCATACGTGGGGATATATGAGTCCATACAAAGGAGAAAATGTAAGATATCACTTGGAAGATTTTCGACGTGCTCGAACAAGGCAATTACGTGCACCAACTGGAAAGAAAGAAAAATTCAATTATCTACATTCGTCGTGCAGAAATATTGTTGAACGAACTTTTGGTGTGTGGAAAGCACGTTGGTCTATTTTGAGAGATATGCCTACCTTCCATATTGACACACAACGAGATATTGTGCTTGCGACTATGGCAATCCACAACTACATTAGAAAAAAGAACACACCAGACATGGCTTTTCAAGTAGCTGAGAATGAAACATATATGTCTTCATTAGATGGAGAAGGAGCACCCTCGTCGGATGGAGATAATGCTTTTACCAATGATGATTATTTTACCAATGGTGAAAATACTGCTTATTGGATGGCTATGCGTGATTTGATTGCAACTGAAATTTGTACCATATAGTTATTCTCATATGTAATTTGAATGGATTAATATGATTCAATTGAGACATGAATCGAATATTTTGATTGAAATTTTATTTTTTTGAATATAATTATAATTCATTATATTTGTTCATTAGTTTATTTGGTATAAAGAATCTAAAAACTTGGGATATTACTCATTTATTTTGATAATATTATAGTAAAAAATTAAGTTAATATAGTTTATTATTTGATAAAATAATACAGAACCCTTTTTAGTCATTTTATAATAAAATGTACTTATAAGCTACATTTTACCAAACACGTCAACTATTTATCAGTCACTTATAAGTATTTTAATCAAACACGTAATTGCTTAAAATTTTAAATGCTTATAAGCTAAAATTAACTTATAAGCACTTGTTGCTTATAAGCAAATTTTCATAAGCTTAGACAAACACCCCCTTAACCAGTCAATTCTATCGTATTCGTAGTACAAAATTTCGCCCTTAATAATAGTAAATTACCTGTTCCTTTCTCCACAAAACCAAGACATGCATTAATGTATGTGCTACATTTTTGGCGAGAAATTTATTGAAGGCTGAGTCTCTTTTAAGTCAAAATTTTAACTGGAAGGCAACAAACAAACAGCCAGAGTGATTCGCGGAGCTGCAGCATGTGGGTGCCCATTCAGTTGACAGTTAAAACTTAAAAGCACTCCTTAATATCTTCATAAATGACGATACCTACAGCTCTTCTCATAACTCAAGCACAGTTGCCAATGTTATGGGGATCAATTGGCAGCTTCTTCCTTGATGGTACCTCCAGCTGCAGAACACAAGAAAAGAAACCGAAATACAACTCTTATTGGTCCAAAGCATGGATGGAAATGGTGATCAGATTGGATTGCATTTAGGTTACTTTATCTGCATGTTTCTTTAATCTGTTCAATATAATTCCAAACATGTGAAGTTCTATAATAAATGTTAGTTTCGGTGACCATACTGTCTATTCATAAAACAATATAAAGTTATAATATTGAATGATGGAAGAATCTCTGGGGGTTTGTTACTATATATATACTTTATACGATATAAATATAATAATTGTAATATGTAAAATTACGTTTTTATATAACCAATTGTCGGAATTATATCACAAAATACAAATGGGTTACCTATTGTTTAAAGAAATTTCGGCTATTTAAATATGATAGATTAATTAGGCATGATATCGACCCTAGAAATCTCGCAGAGACTTCATATGAAAGAGTTCGGAAGATTTAATTAATTGTTGGGAAAATGATGCTAATTAATTAATTACACCTGTAGCTAAAAGCTTAATTTTGTAATTAGGTAAAAGGGTAGCTTAAATTTATAGTTGAAAGATAGCAGAAAGCCCGATATTAAGCCGATGAGCTCATTCTCCTAATTAAATTTAAAGCTTAAGCTAATAGAGAGCTACCCAATTTAATGTTTGAAGGTTGATGACCACATTATTAATTGGCAATTTGATCACAAGACACTTACTAACAATGCTAGCTAAGTAGCTATATGTATAGCTCTGCGAGTGATTGTGTTTAGCTGATTTGAGGCGTCTATATACTAGCCCACTTAAGCCAAGATTAATTATTCAATCGACATAATACAATTTTTTTAAACTATGACGGTTTGCTTTAGACTCTTAGGTGTATTATTCAAAAGATTTAAAATTTAAATCCTCATAACTACTAATAATGGATAGTCACTAAAAATTTATCTTACCGTTAATTTTAAGGTTTTAAAGACTAATTATGGTGTGTGTAAACTAACTTGAATAGTGTTACACAAAAAAAAAAAAAAAATTATTTTTATATGCGCTTGGTAAGAAAACTTAAAAAAAGAGTTGGGAAAAGTAACAATCCCAAAAATCTCTCTTCTTTAACACTTTCCTTTCTAAAGAAAGGAAAATTCAATTAAGAAAACTCGTATTATCGATAGCGAGATTGGCTCATTAATTAGTTGTCGCGTGACACAAGAAATGACGTTAGCAAGACGTCATTTCAACATTAACACTTCAACATTCTATCCTAATAAATATTAAAACCTAACAATAATAAATGAAGAAGTCGAACATAATATAAAAAATAAATCAAGATAAAATAAATGATGACAGTATAACAATATCCCTACATTTATTTAATATATCTAAAACCTCTCTATAGTCATAATATTCAGACTAACTAATTTTATTACTATAAAGAAGTTATAACTTAATGAAGGTATAGTTACAAAAATTATAGTTTTGATTTCTTATTTTATAATTTATGTTTTAGTAGTATAGTATTAGGATTTCAATTCATATTTTAGTAATATTAGAATTTCAATACAACGTTTCAATTGCCTACTTTTGAAACAGCTAAAAGATCGTTTCTTAGAACCAGCAAAAATAAGTGTCATTGATGGAACTGTAAATACAGTTTATGCATGATCAATTGATGTGAAGTCACAGACAATTGTCAATGGTTTTAAGGGCTGCAAAATAAGCACCACTTATGTCAATGAATTGTAAGTTACAAATAAAGTGGACGAGGAGAATAAAAGAGTCATTGTAGAATTGAGTGATCAGATTCGACAAATTGATTACACTAATCTAATGGATATTAATATATTCTTCGATTATCGAAATGAGCAACAAATTGTGTATACTTTAACCAAAGGAGAAATCATTGTTGCAATTAGAAAAAAAAAAAAAATAATCCCAAGGATAATAGTACGGAAATACAAAAAGTCTTGTGCTATGAAGCTCTAAACATGCTTGAAAAACTAAAAATATTTTGGCTTCAACAAGAAAGTATCCATGCTAATGAGCTATTACGTATTCGTAAGGTAAAAGATGTGATAACAATTCTAAAACATAAATCATTGTCCCAAACAATTTTAAAGAAATATTTTATTTCATTTTAAACCTTTTAATTTTATATAACATATATTTTTTTGTAATATACAGATAATTATTATTATGTAGAGGCAACTTTCCTTAAAGTGGGAATAAGAAAAATTATAACTTATTACAATGTAGAGTTTTTTCTTATTTAAAACTATTCCAAATTGGGATTAGAATTTTTTATAACTATGTGGAGTTTATTCCTATATAGAGTATTACTATACAGAGATTTGACTGTAGTTGACACTTAATACATTAAAATCTTCTGTCCGAAGTTAGTGCGGAAGAGAGATAGCCATTACACAAAAATCTTCTCCCTATAAATGCAGCCAAACATTTCTTCCCAAACTACAACTAAGCTCAATCTTTCCAAAAAAATGACAGAAAAAATTCCCACAAAATTTCTCCTTTTGTGCTTCCCTCTCTTAGCCATTTTCTTTCCATGCAATGTTTATTGCTGGTCCACATATGGCTCCCAAATCAAAGGGATGTTTGTGTTTGGGAGCTCTTTGGTTGACAATGGCAACAACAATTTCCTCCTCACACTTGCTAAAGCGAACTACTCACCATATGGCGTCGACTTCCCCGGTGGACCTTCCGGTCGATTCACGAATGGGATGAATGTGATTGATCTTCTCGGTGAGGAGCTTCAGCTTCCTTCTTTGATTCCAGTTTTTTATGACCCTTCAACTAAGGGAGGAAGAACAATTGTTCATGGTGTCAACTATGCTTCTGGTGGCTCTGGTATATTAAATGATACTGGCTCAATTGCGGTAAGGAAACATTAAAACTCATCATTTTATGTATCCCCAACTGTAGTTAAATAAGCACATCAAATCTAGCCGGTCCACATTAAATTAGAATCAAATACATGGATCTTTGTAAGGGGACTCACGGTCTATATCACATAATCATTAATTCATTATTTTACTGTTTTTCTTTTTTTCTCTTATTATCTGCGGTTATAAACATCCAATCAAGTCCAGCTGTTGTCTAGTGACAATGGCTAGTCACTGCCCAGCTTCTGCACCACTTTAAGAAAGAGATCTACTTCAGATTACGTGCTTTATCAGTTATCATTTAAAATATTGAAGATCTTAAACTCGAGTTTCTGAAATCAATGTTTTGCCTGCGTCGGAGGAATATGGTTGCCCCAACGACTTTGGGGTATAGATTCGTATGCCGACAGCTTCATGACGTTGGCGTATTGGCAAGTACACCGACGCCTAGTCCCGGTGTCAGGTTTGGCATCAGTGTATATAATTTTACTAGTGGTGTTGAACATGAAAAAAATGCTTTATGCCCATGCTCACATTCCTATTTTCTGAGAAGGAAGTTGGAGACTTAAATATCGATAATGTTCATGTTTATTTAATAGTTGAAATATTTAGGTTAAGTGGTAACAGGTAACTTAATAATATCACGGACTTTTCAGGGCAATGTAGTGAGTCTGAATGAACAAATCAGGAACTTTGACGAGGTGACATTGCCAGAATTAAAAACTCACGTGGATTGCAGGAGCACGGATTTACTACACAATTACTTGTTTGTTGTGGGAAGTGGAGGGAACGATTACTCATTCAACTACTTCCTGACACAGGCCAACGCCAATGTCAGTGTTGAAGCCTTCACTGACAATCTTATCAACTCACTGTCTCAGCAACTCAAAGTATGGTATTCTATTAATCTGACCCTAATCCAACTCTTTTTTTTTTTTTTTTTTTTTTTGATAATTGGGGTGTTTGGCCAACTTGCACACACCTTAACTAATTTTTAGTTCTATTGAATACCTTACAGACTTAAAGAATCAAATAAGCCACAATATTAGGTGGTAGGTGACTCCAAGGTTTGAATCCAAAAATTAAAAGAAGAGAGTAAATCTCCTTGACCACCAGACCAACCTCTTGAGGTTATCTAACTAACCAATTTACTACCAATCACTTTGCTGCATGATTTATTTTTACAATTATCATATTAATCGAAGGTAATAACTAATCATAACAGTACTCACTAGTAGTTCACTGCAATATAAAGGAGGTAAATAACTAAGTTACATGAGCCAAGTCTTTTTATATGGTGAAATTTAGCATGTATAAACAAGGTTATTATGCAGTATTGGAGGGTAAGCTATTCTGTACCAACCATTAGATTTCTCTGATGATCTCTGACTGTTTGGCCATAGGAGAAATCTGATGGTCGATATAGGGTAATTAATTAATATTACCCCGATACAGTATCAATTATCTGTATAATATGTAGTAACGTGAAAGGAAAAAACTTATATACAATGGATTTATTTACAATCAACTAATTATAGGTCACGTTTATGTTATATACACGTGCTAATGTAATATTCTATGATTGGTTGATTGCATATATATCTGTTGTACGGAATTTTTTATTTCTATATAATATGAATAACACTTATTACATATATGACATGTAAATTTTATTCATATTATATAAGTATTATTTATATTTTACGTTTAATTTTTGTCTTGATATCGTTACCTATCTTATGTATATGTAGTAGCAAATTTGACATTTCTTTTTTTTTTTTTTTTTTTTTGAATTCATTTCTTGTGTTTGATACAGAAATTGTACAGTTTAGGAGGCCGAAAATTTGTGTTAATGTCAGTAAATCCACTTGGGTGCAATCCTGTGGCTAGGGCATCTCAGCCAACGGGTCAAGACGGCTGCATACAGGTTTTGAATCAAGCGGCTCACCTCTTCAATTCTCGGTTGAGATTAACAGTTGATTTTATCCGGCCACAAATGCCTGGTTCTACTCTTGTTTTTGTTAACTCATACAAGATTATCACGGATATTATCGGAGATCCTGTTTCCAATGGTAAGATTAAAAAGTACAGACGTACGCAAGAAAGATTGATAACATATATAATTACGTCATTAATCGAACAGGAAGTTGATTGATTGTAATAATGTTTTTACAGGATTTAATGACACAAGGAAAGCTTGCTGTCAAGTTCTATCTGTAAATGAAGGAGGAAATGGAATTCTGTGCAAAAGAGGAGGACGAGTGTGTGCAGAAAGGAACATTCATGTTTTCTTTGATGGGTTGCATCCAACAGAAGCTGTGAATATTCAAATAGCTAAAAAGGCTTTTGGTTCTTATAATAGAGATGAAGTTTATCCCATTAATGTTAGACAACTAGCCAAACTTTAGATTTCTCCTCTCAGTAATTCTGTTTGATATTCAAAGTTGCAGCAGATGTTTCTGATTTGTAAGGCTTTTCACAATTTAATTAATTTGGTGATGATTCCATCCTCTAGGTTTCATACATTGCTGTGTAATGTTTAACGGATTTATAAATAAATAATTAAATTTTGTCAAATCGAAAGAATTTGTATTACAATCAATATTCTGAAAACCGGACCGAGAGTCGACTTGGCCAAATGGCCAGTTTCGGACTCGAACAGGTGGACCGGTCCGACCGATAACGTCAGGAAAAACGAAAAAAAGGAAAAAAAATCCGGGTTTTTCATGATTTCATCTAACTAAAATTTAAAAACCATCAATCCAACCCTACAATAATAATAAAACCATCAAAGTTATGTTTACAAATTCAATCCTCAAGTCTAAACTCTAAAGTAAACTCTAAAGTTTCAAAGTTCAAAGTTCAAACATCATTAAAGGTATTACAAAGTAATATCAAATATAAATCCACCAACGGCTGAAATCTGAATTGAAGTGACTAATCCGGCAGACCAGTAACGGCAAGCAAGAAGCAGACTTTTAGATGGCGACGGTGATGATTGAAGAGGTTGAACCATTGAAGACTTGAAGTTGAAGAATGAAGACTTGCAGCAGACCAGCCACGGCAAGGAAGAAGCACTGAAGCAGAGTAGCAGACCGAAGACTTGAAGAGTGAAGACTTGAAGGCTAAAGACTTGAAGGCTGAACCGCTGAAGCTGAAGCTTGAAGGAGATCCGAGATCGCGAATGGAGGACAGGAGGAGGAGGACTGGACTGGAGAGAGTGCAGATCGCGAATGGCAAACAGGCAAAGTAGCAAACCAAAATGAAAAAGGAGAAAAAAAAAGTGGCAGACACAGCTCAGTAGCAGCTTAACGCAAAAGCAAATTGAAAATTTTCTATTTTTCATCTTAAAAAATTTGGGGGCACTTTGACTTTGGGGTTTTTACTTTTTACTTTTTACTTTTTTATTTTATTTCATATGATTAAACCGGATTGGGTGTGGACCGAATTTCCTTGTCATACCGGTTGGACTGTCGGTTTGCTACAATGAGGCGGTCCAACCACGGTTTGAAACAGTTTGAAGCAAAATCCTGGTTTTTTACTCTTTTCAAACCGGAAATGTGAGCGAAACCCGGTCAGACCGGTTCGATTGCCCGGTCCGATCTGGGTTTCAGAACATTGATTACAATTGATACGTATGTGTGTTCATCCATTTATGACATATTATTTCTTCTTGACTATGATTCTATACATGTAAATGTCTAGTGATTTATTTAGTGTATCCAATCATTTAAAGTATGTTACATGATTGTTCAAACAAAAGAAAAATGAAAATTAACTTTATATTTGTTGATGCGTGATTTTGACACCAACGAAACGCACTTGTGAAATGCTGAGCTAGCTCAGAAGGCACACGTGAATGTAAGAGAAAATGAGAGTAAATGCAATGGGAACAATTTTTAAAGTGGTTCGGATGCCAAGGAAGCAAGTCATACGTCCACTGATGTTTGTATTAATGATAGAGGTCAGGTCGTTTTAGCGGACTGACTTACAAAATGATAGTACAAGAGAGAGAATGCTATATATTCTTGAGAGAGAGTAGCTAATCAAAAGTAGAATAATCGAATCCCCCAAATGAGAGAGGAGCCCTCAATTTATAGTGGGATGGATTAAGGTTATCATTACTGAATATGTGAGTTGGTGGGATTATCCGTACAAATCTTCCTTTACGTCCAATTGTCCACCTTCCAGAGTGATTTACGTGATTTGGTGCAGGAATTTGGACATGTGGAAGCTTTCCAGCTCCTGGCTGGTCTAGCGCGCATCCACTGCACTGACAGGAGCATGCTGCTCCTTTCCTCATGTGACTCGGCTACGGGTATACCCATGCTCTGACTTTTGCATGCTGACTGGACCTTACGCCATCCCTGCATTCTTTAGGCATAACAGAAGTTCCCTAGTTTTTAAGGTTTGAGGATTGAACCTTGGAAACTATAATTCATGCCATGACTGGATGCTTTCGGGAAATTCTAGTGATTCCAACCTGTTTGAAAAGAGGTCGGGGTAGCGCTTTTTGCGAACACGACCTCGCATGGTTATCGCTTGTTAAGAATGAGCGACCTGACCTCGTCAGGCATTACCTGTTGTACTTTCGATATGGATGCATTTAATGAAGCAGTCTCTGCTCTGACAGATGTGTCCTGTGCGTAATAAGTGCCAACCAGGCACATTAAATACGTGGTATACTGACACGATATCCTTTATCAAAACATTAAATGCATGACATGTTGAAACGACACCCCTTATTAGAGCATTAAATGCAGATTGGGGCGCAATTAATGCTGAGGGAGAGAGTGTCGTCGCTTGAGTTTTTCAACGGAAAAAGATGAAGGTTTGGTTTTCTTTAATCGTGACGGTCACTCTTCCTCATTGATCTGCGACACGTGGTCGTGATCAATGGTGAGACATTTTTCTACCCAAACGTCGTTTTGATTTCGAGAAAACCAAGCATCGTTTCCTTTGCTATAAAAACTCAAATCCATCTTAGGCAATGTCACCACACTCGTCTTTTTCAGAGAGAGCAAGAGACTTTCGCAAGCTTGGAATCTTTGTCTTCCAAACTAGCTTGTTTCCGATATTTGAAGCAAAATGAGCCATTTTGGTATTCCGAGAGGTAAGAATCGTTCTTTGCTTTTATTTTCTTATTCCCCGTGGTTGGTAAATGGCGTTAGTCTTCCGGTAGTTGATCGAAGACGAGACGCTCATGTCAAGTTTGAGCCATGAATGGCGGCTCGAATCATTCTGTTAGGGTTTTCTCTGGGATTTAGGGAGTTTGTTTCCTTCCACGTCATCGTACGGAATAGCGTACGATGGCTAAATGATCCTTTTGCTTGTCGTTTTTGCAGACCAGTAGAATGGACCCCTCAACGACCAAATCAGAGGAAGGAACTGGTTCGTCCTCGCAAGGTGCTCCGAATGTCACTCCTGAGGTCTACTCGGTACTCACCGGGGAAGAGCTCGAGAGGGTGACAAAACAGTATGGTATCAACGTGGAAGTTTTCCGCGATAGGACCCACTCATCGCGATACATGTCAAGTGGGATGGCTACGATCTCCGAGGAGATCTATAAGGGTGGGGGGTTGATCCCCTTCCACCCTTTTGTTAGGTCGCTCTTGGATAACTTCAGGATAGCACCGATGCAACTCACGTCGAACGCGTATGTGATTGCTGTTGTCATGTACATCGCGTGTTGTGAGAAAGGGCTGGGCGAGCTAACTGCGGTGGAGTTCGGCTGCTCGTATTACTTGAAAAAGAGCAAGGACAAGGATTCTTATTACTTGTCCAGGCCACCTACTATAGAAGCAAGGATACATAGTTACCCTAGCAACGTGGGGGCCTACAAAACAAAGTTTTTCTTCCTTCGCTATGACGGCCATTGCCGCTTTCAGGACCCGAGAAGGTTCTTTTCCCTTGGCGAATTTATTAAATTTGAAGTGCATTCTTTTCCTAACAACCTATTTCTTTCTAGCAGTTAACAAGTCGACTGACTTAGGGCTGCTCTTCGATTCAGACAGGATTGTAGCTTTCGGCTTCCTGCCCGAAGCCAATCACGACGCAAAGAAGCTCGTGACGACCACGAATCTGCGAAAATATGGTTTCTTCAATGCAAAAGCGTCCTTAGAGCCCCCATTGCGTAAGTCTTGCTAACTAAATCTTCTCTGGTCGTGCAATGAATTACTTTTGCTAACGATACTTGCATGCAGTGACCATGCTGAGAAGGTGTCAGAGTCGTTGCGACCAAGGCAGTTCAATTTTCTGCGGGCAAGGACCGCTAGGGCGACCGATGTTGCTCCTACAGTTCACCCGACTGAAGGTGCCACATCAGGTGCCCCGGTGCGACCTATTGGAACTTCTCAGCCTCAACCTATTGAGGACGCACCAATCTGACCTGTGAGGGCTTCCCAGCCATCAGCTGTTCGCCCGAGGCTAAAGACAACGGCTCAACGACCAAAGAAGAAGAGAAAGCAAATTCGGGTCGAAGAGTAAAAAATCGAATTCGAGGGCGATCAGCCCAGGAGGTCACAGCCAAACGTCGGGAGGAGGTCGGGTAAGGAACCGACGGTTGACACGACCTTTGTTGAAGGCGCGAAGAAGGAAACTCCAGTGCTGGACTCACTGGGGGACCTGCCGGAACACCTGCAGCCGATAGTCTACACTTTGTTGGAGTGCGGACTCTTGGAAGCATTCGAGGAGTTCGTCAGTTCCAACAACGTGGACCTAATGTCCACATCGCTCCAACACTTAAGCAAGGTAAACAAACTGTCCTCGGCGAGGACTTCCCTTAGTTCCTTTTGATAAACTAACTTGCTATTTTTCTTGTTTGCAGGCCATGCTTTCCATGCAACTGTCCTTGCAGAAGGTTCGACTGAAAGTTGCAAAGGTGGAGGTCGCACTGAAGGAAGAGAACGCACAACTTAAGCGAGGCCTAGAAGCCACCGAAGTAGAAAGAGACCTATCTTCTGAGTCGGCGAACCGGTACTTGAGCGAAAGGAACGCGGCTCTTCGCACAATGGACTTCCAAAAAGCCGAGCTCGAGAAGCATGGGGAAGAAGTAAAGGAGCTCCAAAGGACCATAGCCAGAGTCTCCAAGGAGGTCGGAGAGAGGGACCAAGAGCTCAAAACGGCCTCTCTGCGAGCCTTGCGAGCAGAACAAGAGAGGGAGGCCTCCGCGAAGCAAAGGCAAGCTCTCGAGGCCGAGCTCCAAGTAAGTCAGGGAAAAGTTGCTTCCCTGACCGAAGAGATGCAGAATCAGGTAGCGGAGGTCGAGGAGAAGGCTGCCGAATGGGCGATCGAGTCCATCTATGCCTTGCAGTCGAAGAATCAAAATATTGATATGTCTGACCTCCCGGTGGACTGGCAGAAAACTCTCATGTCCATGGCGCAGCAGGATGATGAAGCAGCGGTTGCCCAAAGATCCGATCAGGGAGAGGATTCAGGACATGCCCCGAAGAAGCCCCTAGCCAACCGACCATAGGATGATGAGGTCAGTCCTCCAGGAGTCAGATCAGGGCTAACAGTTGTACCATCTTGCTTGTTGT